AATACCAAATTAGACAGACCTGTGTTTCTACTGTATTACACCTAGTCTTTTAATTATTTTAATTCAGTAAATTAGGCTCAGCATTAAAAGGGACAACTCACAGACTCTGTATATGTCCCCCACTCCCCTTACTCCGGTTAATATTTTGCAATCCATTTTTCCTAATACCGTAGATGTCTCACAGTCACATGAGTTTCTTCTGCTGTTGTTACCTGCCACCTAACACTTATCATTCTGTTGCAGTAGAAGGGCATATGGAAGAATTTCTTGTTTGGCATTCACATAATCAAAACCGCAGTTCATGGAGTGGTGACATGTGAATTCCTCATCGAACAAAGAAGTTCAAGATGCACTGCGATGTGCACTGTCTTTTGGGTTAAGAAAGAGGTGATCTTTCCAGATTTCCTGGAACCTGGACAGACTACTGATGGTGACTAGGTTGAAAAACAGCATTTTGAAGCTGACAATTTGCTCTATGAGTTACTGTTATTGTGCTCTTTACATCTGTGGTTTCCTTGGATAAAAAGAGGAGGCATTCCTTTCAGAACAACCTATGTTGAAAAAACATCTGAAATGAGTACTAAATCTTCACACATGTCATAGGAAACAAAATACCACAACAGGAAATTTGGGAACCCGTATGAAGTCATGTATTCCAATTGTGTGATATTTATCGCTGTGTATAAAGTACACATTCTCCTCTACACATTAATTAAAAACCTTGAAATTCTTATCATCTTTAACGTGGTTTGAGAATAAGGAAGGGAGTTAACAGAGAAGGATAAAGTGTACAAGTTCTTAGATCTATCAGTGAAGACAACATGAAGTGCATTCCTCATCTTTCACAAACAAAAAGAATCAGCCCCCCCATCTGCCTTCTTCACTGGATTTTGCTCTACTGAATTTTGGAATTAAAGTACTACAGGTATCTACATGAGAGGATTTTAATCCTGTCCTCATTTTTGTCTCATCTGAGTAAAGCAAAGGACACTGACAAATTTCTTAAAAGGTCAACCTGTAGAACAAGAGGAAATAAAGAAGTATAATTTTATCTAAATTACACTGCTAAATAAATCATTCAAGGAAGTTTGACCAAAATGGACCAATAGCGAAAATGGGAAGAGAGGAAAGCAGACAAGTTACCAAACTTATGAAGGTTACAATTAGAACAGAAAAAGTCAATTTACCTGACAACAGGGTGGTTTTAGACGTCACCAAACTGCAGCGTTTACCATTTTACCCGCTTGCATTACTGAGAGGAAAAGTTTAGGAAGGAACATTCTCAAGGACTTTTCATAAGTTCTCATTCTTGTCATCAGAAAGGGGAGAAGGAAAAGTTTTCTCTGACTTGTTTGACTTTTTTGGTTCCTGAAAAGTTTTGCAGAGAACAGTAAGAAAGTGCACACTGTTAGAAAATATTTGTTTAAAAAAAAAAAAAAAAAAAAAGAGGGAGAGTAAGTCACACAGAATAGAGCAACAACAAAACCCATCCAAAATTCATGCATCAAATTTCTGCCATCAATTTAAATGAATAAATAAAATCTTTTCAACTAAAAACAGAAATATGAGAGGCCAGCAAGATCCACCACAAGAATACTCCAAAAAGTCACCCTCAAAACAAAGAAAGAAAATCTGGTTTATAAATACTGCAGTTTATAGTACTTTACGAAGATTTATGAAACCTGCAGTGTTCATTTTAAAACAGCTCCTAGAACAGTGAAAAATTTAAAAATTAAAAAAAGACAGTAGCAACAGAAGTTACCTGTCTGAGCACCTACAATTCCACAGAGAGAACAGAAGTGGGTCGTTTATCTTGCACCAGCCATAATGCCCATAAACCTTCTCAAAAAGAGTGAGGCGTGAGAAAGATATTGTACATGCAAATTGTTTTCATGAAGTCTTTCTAAGCCCCTAGGGTCACTTAGGTATTTAACTGATAGATATTCACAAGAGGGAGAAAAGATTTCACAAATGTCACTGGTGTCACGTGTTGAATTTTGAAGTCCAATATAATATCTTAAGAAGTATCCTTTGCATCTGAAGTACACTGGTGCTCCAGAGAATACTTCCTGAATAAGTATCTCACATGAAAGATAGCTCACAAAGTAGAAGAAAATGCACAAATAGTGACCACAAGTTCAGAATAAGAAGCTTTAACAGTCCACATACTCATCAAGCATTGACCTTCTATTATTGCATTATGAATGATGTGGTGTAACATTGAATTACAATTTTTTATAAAACACACTAAAGCATTAAATACAAAGCTTAAGATACAATCCATACATTGACATAGCAAGACATCAATTAGAAACATGTTAAATTGAACAGAAGTCTCCACTGTTACAAAATAATAATAATAATAATAATAATAATCAGGTGTAGTTTAAGAAACTTATTGTTGTAAGAGAGTTTCTAAGTGGCTTTTTCAAAATTAAGAAATACAGAAATATTTCTATCACTGTAAGATATTATATCCAGCTGTATATTGATTACTTCTTCAGCATAAAATTCCAAACTCAAATATGCAGGTAGTTTTAGTGCAACTATATGAAAGTTTAGCATGTGTTTTTTCAGCATATGGAAATGAAGGAAATACAGCATATAAAGCTGAGGTCTGTGAAGTTCACCTTCAATGGGAAATACTGGCCTGACTGGCCTGATTACAACAGGTCATACTTGGATACTCTTTTTTTTTTTTTTTTTTTTTTACTTCAAAGCAAGAACCTTACTCTGCATCCCATATCATTTTGTACATTTCACTATTTCAGAAGCAACGGATAAATAGTGAGTAAATACATCAGACAAGTACCATTTGTACCAGTAAATCTTCAAGTAGGGTTTTCATATGTAATGTCAATAACCTACGTATAAACAAACATACATGTTGTTTCAAATATTGCCTCCTTTCCTGATCACTACGCAGACTTATCTCCAAAATTGCTTGGAAGCACCAACCACAGAGGAGTATCTTATCACAAAGGAACCAAACTGCAAGTTTCTCAACCCACTGTTTGTCAAAAAATCTCATGGCTATTTACTACACCTATTTTATTATGGTAAAATGTTATCTGGATATTCTGAAAGGGTGAGAGAAATGTAAAGTTACTGTGTAACACAACATTTCTCCACAAAATAGAATGGAGCCTTGAAAAACAGCCCAGAATGTTCAGTTACCTGTTCTTTTGCCTTAAAGACATTATTGTGACAGAAGTACAGAGATCCTACTATACCAGCTGACTCCCTATTTCTATTCCACACTGGCTTTATGTGAGCCACAGCTGAAAAGGTGAAGGTTGGCCCATCAGCTTCTCAATGAGTGCAAGCATCTACCAATAAAAAGGAAAAGAAAAACCAAAGAAAAGAACCAACATCCAAATTCCCCTTAGATAAACACACAAGGGGAGAAGAGTTTCTGAAGAACAGTGTACTGCTCAGTGACCAGAAAATCAGCTTCCTTTTAGTTCTGTGCTTCTGCAGCTCTTCACGGAAGTTAAAGACCGTTATATTCTTCAGATACAACCTGTGCACTTGAGGATTTAGGAAGAAAAGACTTGACAATATCCAGGCCGCTGAACCCCCTTTTGTTGCTGGACCAGCTAGTCCACTTCTCCTGCTTAATACCACAAGTCAACCTTACACTTGATTTTAATAATAATATTTAATTCTACCAAAAAAAAAAGAAGCCATTTTATTACATTCCTTTTTAAATTAAAAAAAAAAAAAAAAAAAAAAAAGAACTGTACAAAGAAGCATGATCAAATCTCCACAAAAGCAGGTTAATACTGTTCTGTTTATTGCCTCTTGAAGACTCTCTGCATAGTGTCCATGAGCTGTGTTTAAGGTCCAAGTGAAGATAAAACAGCAGAGCAGCAAAGAGGTGAAGAGGGGCCGCAAAAGTGGGCAGTGCAGAGCCTCAGAGGGTACATGGGACATGCTTCATTAAAGTATCCAGGAAACAGCAGCATTGCACACACACAACCCCCCTCCAAACAAACCCTACTTTCACAAGATTGTTTTTCAATTGTAAACGTTTTACTTTGTGTATTTAAAAAAGAGGCTTATCTTTATATTTATATTTATTTATATATATATATATATATGTATATATATATATATAAATATATATATAGTTGCAGGGCTTTATGATCACAGAAAACTGGGAATGGAATGAGAACAGAGGAAGGAGAAAGTGGAAGAAAAGGAGGAGGGGAAAATAGGGACTGAATAACTGACTCAATATCTCTGTTCTGGTTATGTGTTACCCAAAACAGTTCAAGGCTAATGAGAAAATGCACAGCCAGAACAACTAAGAAAAATCAGGCAGTCTAGAAAAAAAAATTGGATCTAAATAGACAAAACTCAAAAAGAAATGAAGCAAAGCAAATGCGCGTTCACAAACACACACAAGTGTGTGCGTTCACACCACAAACACATAAGAGTACAGAATCAATTTGTTAAATGTTTACGGACCTAGGTTCTACTTTTTTAAAACTTTTATTATTCTGGCTGAGCTCTCTTCCCTTTTTTTTTATTTTTCCTTTTTTTTTTTTTTTTTTTTTTTTTTTTTTTTTTTTTAAATTTAATTTGTTGCATGTTTGCCAAAGAATTGAGAACTTCTGTTATGCACTTTGGATTTCTGATAACATCAGCTTTTAAGTACTCTCAATGGGAAAAAGTAAGCCTTCTAAGTATTGTATGAACTGCAACTTTATTCTAGTGTATCTCTAGATTTCTAATCACTTTTCACCAACTTTTCACTTCTCCACACCTTATCACATTTCTCCCCCATAAAAAGCAAAAAATACCCCTCCCACTCAAAAAAAAACAAAACAAAACAGAAAAACAAAAAAAAACCACCAAAACAAACAAACAAAAAAAAACATAGTACAGACTTTAATTCAGTGTTTTCTTAGCAAGTAGTCTGCAGTGTTTTCACTTTGGCCACTGTTATAGATGCAGGCATAGAGAAGGGAGTGTTGGACTAGCATGTATTTAAAAAAAAAAAAAAAAAAAAAAAAAAAAAAGGAACATTAACATTGCAGATCTCTCTCAAAATGACTAAAACACTAACAAATACAAGCCAATGCACATTTTTTTTTAAACTAGTGTAATTTCTTTTCACATTGGATTAAACATTATTTTGTATACCAAACATTACAGTGCTGTTTAACTCCTCCAATCATGCAAAAAATAGTTAAAATGTGCCACTTCTACCACAATATAATATGACCCATTCCCCTGCATACCTCTCAAACTCAGGATTTGAAGTGAAAAAATCTGAGGTACTAGAAATCCTCTTTCAAATGCCTTATAAAGAAAAACAGACACAAATCTGCCTGTTAATATCAAGATGGCACCAATTTGAGATTTGTACAGAAGCTCACATTAGGGCAACTGACACTCCTCTCTGTCTCAACATTTGAATGGCCACATCCTGTAAGGTCTGAAAGAGATGATTTCAAAACTATGCTGAATTTACCACAAGAGTGGGAACAGTAGGTATCCAGGAGTTCTAAATACCTGGCATTTAACACCCTCAACTCTCACTGACAATTAAAGACAGTCAGCAATTTACAAGATCAAGCCTTAGAGAGCACAAGAGAGTTAACTGCTGCATTAACTCACAAAAGTTTCTAGAGAGACACCAGAACTTTCTGAAAATTTTCCAGTTAATCATATTTTAATGCTTTCCTTCGAACACCCATGCACTGCAATATCAAATCGCAGAATCAAAGCAGCATCCAAATAAAACTCCCATTTAGGCTGTAAATTAAACATCTTCATTACAACAATAGTGCTGAAGAACTATCGCAATATTATGTTCTGCAAAAAAATAGAGGCAGCTGTCACAGAACACATGCCTTTTAATCTTGCTCTCTTGACTGACTCTCCTTTCCTCATTTCTCTGAGTTTCTCTAATAAACAGCACTGCAAGTTGGTTTCAAAGAAAATTTTACAAGAGAGTTCTGTTGGTCATCTATTTACATGTGGCATCACTCCACAAGAAGTTTGATCTCATTGGCTAATAGCTGGTTCATGTTGAATAGAGCCCCCGGGAGCTTGGTGAGCAACTCTCTCTCCGTGGTCTCAGGGTCGCTGTCGACAGAGCTGGAGCTAGCACTCATATTGTCGACAACGGCACTAGCTGGAGGGCCCAGCTCTGGCTCGCTAGTCTCGCTTGCCGTGGACACCACAGAGAGTAAGGACATGCGCCGCGTCAAGCGACCGGGGGTTAGGAGAGAAGTGGCATAGTCCGCTATGATACCAGCTACATCTAGATTACAAGCCTTGTCAAAGGCAATGAAACCTACATTTGCATTGGCCTCACAGACGTAGAATGAACCGTCGTCCTTCATCAGTAGGTCAATGCCACACACGTCCATCCCCAGGATGTTGGACACTTGGATTGCCAGTTGCTTGCCTTGTTCACTCAGTGAGCACATCATCCCTACACCGCCTGGAAAAAAAGTGAAAAAAAACTCAGTGTCTATTCTGGACACAGGTGACCAACATACTTCTTGCCTGGCTGGTGCAGTTCAGTTGAAGATCAAAGAAAGCCTGCAAGCATAGAGATGATAACAACTCAGAAAGCAACCACCTTGCCACAACAACTGCTAATAACTTGAAACCTAGCAGGACTTCAAAAGATTCTGCAAAAGGCAGATCAAAACTATGACTTGTTTAAAAAAAACAGTAATAAAAATAGTGAAGAAATATGTAATTATATATTTTTTGCTATCTTCGGGGAATTAAAAAGATGACTAAACAAATCATTTCTGTTTCTATCTCTAAGATAGAAGCTTTCTATACATACCCTTGTTTCCTCCCTTAAGATAGAGGCTTGCTATATGTATTTGTAAGTTATCACAATAAATCATCCAAGAACCAAATGTTCTTGATGAGAATACAGATCTACCAGATAGAACTGTGGGGGAAGAGGGTTAGGACATTTTTATTTGCTTGTATCCCTCACAGTTTGCTGTCATAAGTTACTGTCTCTAAAGAAAGAATTCTGGAACACTGTCTGTACCTCAACTCGTCTACTACACAGACCATCATCTAAGTACTAAATGACACAAAATTCATTTATCATATCACTTAAGTTTAAAAATATAAAACAACACTTAAAATATTTAGTAGAAAAATCTTTCAGGCTGCATTTCCCCAGCATTGAGAAGTAGTAACTAAAATCTCTAGTGCATTTTGACTTACTAAAACTGTACTGTACATGAAGACATTTCTTCCAATCCCTGCTCAGGTCAGTTTCAGTAATTTCAGTGAATTTACTGGCCAGGAACCCCAACCCTCTTTTTTCCCTTCACCCTCTCCTAGCCTACAAAAAGTGATGCAGAAATACAGATCAAAGCATACAACAATCAGTGTAGTAAACTTCCTCACATACATGGTTTTCAGGGAAAAAATGTTGCAGGGAGGAGACTGACATACTTAAGGCAGCACAAGCAGCTGTAAAATGCAACTTGGCTGTTGACTTCCTTAAACTATTTTCTCTCTCTTAGTACTCTACTCTTTTCCAAATTGGTGGTCTCATATTTTCTCTGGTTTCCCACTACCTTTTGTTTTTCTAGTCCATTGCATCATACACTCTGTTTGTGCTCTTAGAAATTCCCACCCCTTCCATCTATCCTATTCATCTAGGGGCAGAGATAGTTTCTGATTATAGGTTTGTGTGATGCATATTTCACTTAGTTCTTGCTCTCACATTTCCACTGTGAACATCTAAAGGTAAACACAAATAACACAAAATAAAACTTTCAGTTTATTGCAACCGTGTTTGTCCTTTTTCTGAATTCAAATATTTTGATCAAAACTATGAACAAAGTTTTTCCTACCAAGTGAGCAGTTACTCTGCATTCTCCCATCTGTAGAGCATCGGAGCATGGTGCCCACCACACGGCCTCCTACTACGATGACACGTACATCCTTGCCATGGGACTCTTTAACATATTTTTGGAATAAGTATGGGGCGTCATGACGGATCAAATGGCTCAGGTCTGCCAGATGGTGCTTGTCTCGTGCCAGGAACACAGCTTTGCCTGTATAAGAAAAGGATGCATTGTAGGACTGAAAGAAGCTACTAATTTGTGCTGAGTCAGTGATTCAACACAGAGAAGTAAAACCTTTGACCACTATGTTGCTCATTCTCACATGCACTATCTGTAGTATATATGCATTTACAAATTCTTCTGTGCACATTAGCATTCCAGTGCTTCAGTATTTCTAAGCATTCAAGTACTGAAAGAATTGAGGAGCCATGAGAAGAGTATAAAAATAAATTAAAAATAAAAGTAAACAAATAAAACCAAGAAGCTGTAGATAATGGAGGTGTTTTTGCAATTTCAGTCTGTTTTGGGGTGGTAAAGTTAACAAGTCCTTAATGAGAGAAAAAGGGAAGAGATACTACAAAAGCAGTAGACATTTAATTAGACCCACAGCCTACATGTTTGATACGGCAAGAACTAATCACATGAAACTGCTAAACAACAGGTTGCTAGGAGCTCTTAAGCGACTAGTGTGTTACTGCAAAGCTGCTTCACTACCAGGAAGTTGCTGAAAGCTTCTCTTCCCAGTACTAAGAACTCAGAATTCCAGAATGAGGCTTAGCTGTGAAACAACTTAGTTCAGAACAAAATACTACACTCCAAAGTATCCAAGATAAATTTAGCTGAACATTCCAAAAACATAAATGGCATGTACTGTAACTTTGAAAAAAACCTCTTTAGCTCTTCAGGAATTACTAGCTTTTCTGCCAGCAAACTTAGGAAAGATTTGTTTTTAAGTTCAAACATGTCATTTCACTCTCCTTCACTTCTAAAGCACATCGAAAGACTTCTCTGTTCTCATCCAATTTTACTAGTACAAATGAAAAGCATTTAAGGAAGACTCCATCACTTCCATCTCTTTTCTAGTCTTACAAGAAGTCATCCATTTCCATCTTTAGCTACTTCTCCCAATTCCTCTCTCATTTTGTTAATGACTCGTTCATGTCATATTAAATGTATGTTTTGCGATAAGGCTACACTTATTTTTTTATGGCACAATTATCACTGAGTTATGCTGCAATACTAAGAAAATGCAAAAATGGATTTATAAACCGCCTATTCTAAGAAAACAGAATTGCAACTGTAGCAGACCTAGCAGAAACAATGTGCTAAGAATTCTAGCAAGTGCTCAACAGGAGAAGTCTCTACTTTCTCAGGGTTTAAGTCCTTCATAGCACAAAATGCTGCTTGAGGAACACGGAATTTCTTATAAGAATCACAGTAGCAGAACCTAGACTTAAAAGTAGACAAAAAAAAGCGAAATCTTCCACATGATCTCTCCCATGCCCAAGTTTAGCTCTCCTATTGGCAGTTACTCCTACTGTATTCCTAGAACTGGACAGAATGAATGATGCTTTGAAGGAGAACTACTTAGTTTTTTGTGATTATGCATCACCACAACATCTTGGCAAAATAAAAATGGCACATTTGCTGCAGCAGCAAACTGCAGAAAATTGGCTTAGGTGAGCATGACTTTTATTCATTAAATGACTCCTGTGAACATCTGTCTCAATTTTAAATACCATTTGAAATTGGCCCATCTTAAATTAATTTGAAGAAGTTTCCCCAACTCTCTCAATGTGAAAGTGCAGGCACTGTGATAAATTTGCATTAGAATGTACAGTATATGAAGTATGTAAGATTCGTAAACAAAATTACAGAATTAATTGATGCTTTAGGACCCTCTGGAGGTCATCTGGTCCCAACACTTACTCAAGTAGGGGCACCTACAGCAGGCTGCCCAGGGCCATGTCCAGATGCTTTTTTGAGCATCTTCGTGAAAGAGACTCCACAACCAAACTGGCCAACCTGTGCTAGTGCTCAGTCATACACATACCATGGAAGTACTTCCTGGCATTTATAGGGAACATCCTGTGTTCTAGCTTGTGTACACAGCCTGGCATTGGGCATGACTGAAAAGAGCCTAGCTCTATCCCCTGGACACTTCCCCTTTAAATAATTGCAGACTTGGTAAAATGCCCTCTGAGCCTTCTCTTCTCTAGGCTCAATGGTCCCTTCTCTTCCCAGTCTACCCTGATAGAACAGGTGCTCCAATTCCTTGATCATCTTCATGGCCCTTTGCTGAACCTCAGCTTCATATCCCTCTTGTTCTGAGAGCCCAGCACTGGATTCAGCTCTCCAGGTGTGGCTTTTCCAGTGCTGAGTAGATAAGAAGGGTCACTCCCCTCTACCTGCTGGCAATACTTTGCCTAATGCAGCCCAAGATACACTAGCCTTAAGCAGAGATTCATATGAATTCTAGCTAAAAGAATTGAAAAGAAAGTCAATAGCTACAAACTCTACAATTATTTCTAAATCTTAACAAAAAGCAATGTCAAGGCAAACCCAATCCAGTTCCTCAGTTACTCCACATTTGTCAAATTCAGCTTGCTGAAAAGTCAAACTCCAACATCACAGATTGTAAAGGTCTGCAAGCACTATAAGACAATACAAATAGGTATTACTGCCAAAATATTCTACTGCCACAGCCTCTTGCTCTTAGTGTTCCACCACATTAGTGCAGAATTTGTGAAAATACATGGTAATTCGAGCTAGGAACTAATCCAAATAAACATAACCAGTCTAGATTAAGCTAATAATTGTTCCTGAATCATTTATTGAACGTTTACAGAAACCATCATGTTTCAGAAGAGATGAACCAGAACAATCGTGTGGGAATAAACAGGTGCAATAAGAAGGAAGAAGTGGTGTCATGTGGGTATGTTTCTATTAGTTTATAGTAATTCCTGGTTTATGTGCTTAAGCATCAGCTTCAGACTCTTTATTACTCTTGTACTTTTCAAAGTGGATTAAAAACAGTGTGATCTCCTATATAAATAACCTCTAAAATTGATTCCAAACCTTTTTACTTTAGTAGATCACTATCTATCATTAAAATGAATTGATGTAGTATTTTAGATCCAACCCTTAAATCAAAAGAATGATAACAAAAAATTTCACATGAACCTGCTGCACTATCACCAGTGCTGTCAGAGATTCCCCCCCCCCCCTCCCCCCCCAAAAAAAGAAAGATTCCATTTGGCAAACTGCATATGAGATTATATATAAATCAGAATCCTAACTATAGAAAAAGTCACTTAGAAAAAAAAAGACAAATTAAGGTTTATTGAACTAAAATTTTATTTATTATGCCTGTTTAGAAACACCCCTAAAGTCCAGGAAGGCACTTCTCCATATCCCTGGAGCTAGGCCTTCCATTACTCCAGTTCAAAGCACTCCTTGCAAAAGTCACTAATATACTGTTAACTCTGAACCCTTACCCTCCCTGGTATTTCAAGATCATATTCTATTAAAACTGCTTCCCAGTATTGCAGCCTACTCAACATTCAGAATTTGGAGGCTAGAAGAATTTAGAAGTACTGCAAATAAAATTCAACACCTAATAGAAAACCTTCTTAACTATTACTCTTTGACAACACAAAATCTCAGGTACTGCTCAGAATACTCGCTGCCTTCACCTCTGACCTCAGACCCACCTCGGTGACCCCGCGTGTTCTTCACCACCATAGGGAATTCCAGCACTTCTGCCTCATCAATCATTTTGGCAAAATTCTCATGACCACCTGGTAAAAGAAAACCAATAATATTATATGCCACCAGTCTGGTGTAGCCAAACTGGGGATTTAACTGTGACACATTCCTCTCACTCTTCCAACTTAGATAATGCAGAGAAAAAAAAATAACAGTTAAGAATTTTGTAATCTGTGCCTTACCAATTTCTACTTCCTTTGGAATGTAAGACACAAGCTGACTATCATAGAATGGCTTAGGTTGGAAGAGACATTAAAGATTCAGTTCCAGCCCACCTGCTGTGGACAGGGTTGCCAACTCCTAGATCAGGCTGCCCGAGGCCCCATCCAACCTGGCCTTGAATGCCTCCAAGGCTCCCCTGGGCAGCCTATGCCAGTGTCTCACCACTCTCTGAGTTAAGAATTTAATTATAACATCTAACTTAAATCTCTTTTAGATTAACAGATGTTTAATAATGATAGTGGTGATTGATCACAACCCCAAATTCAAATTTGAATGCCTTGATTCCACCATCTTGTTCCAGTTTAGCCCTTGTATTTCATCATCCAAATTTTCTAACAGGAAAATACCACCGACATAACACCAGGAACAGTTCCATCCAAACTACAAGCCAGAAAAACAGCATGGCTTTTCAAAGGCGTAATCCTGACAGCAATAGCAATTCAAATCTTGTGACCCATTTCCCCTTTTCTAAGACTTAAGTCTCTTGCATCTCTTTCTCCCTATTTCTTGAATTACTACTTTGATCTTCTTGCTGCATTGAATCTGCAAGAATCTTAGAGAGTAACATTTAACATTTACGATGGATGCTTTAATTTTATTTGAGTTCTTTGATTCACAGGAGGCTGACTACAGTACAAGAAATAAGATAAGTCAGCAGATGAAGGGATGAGACTCCTCTTAAACCATGTGCAGTAAAGCACAGAAGTTAAGCCAGGACACTGTTCAGAAAGCCAGAAGCAACTAGCACTACTCCACCACAGATTTTAACGCATGTCACAGAATAAAGTGTAGTTCAATACATCCTGTTTTTCTTGGCAAAGCTGACTCTCCTTGATAACTTCATACTAGTGTAAAAAAGAAAGGTAACACTTCTGTCAAATTCCAGAGACAGGCATTAAAAGAACTAAAAGACAGGCAGGGAGTTAGGAAGAAACAGAGATGTTCTCCAACTACTCCGTCATTCTTAGTTTCCCTTTCCCCACAATGAACTAAAAACTCATCCCTTTCTGAAAGAGCTAGAGCAATTGTATCTATAAAGAATGGATATTTCTTCTCAAATGCGTTTTCATAGTATTGATAGAAATAGTTGACTGATGCTTTTATCAAGTTTGTGTTTTTGCTAAGTTTTCATTAGAAAAGCCTATCAGTGTAACTGTATGAAGGAGAGGAAGGCACTAACGCTTCCCAAAAAAGAACGGAAGGGTGAGAGGAGTATTCCATTTTTTAATTTTTTTTAATTAAAGCAAAAAAAAACCATGGTAGCTCAAACAAATGGTTCTCCTAATCTGGCACTCTGTAACGCACCAAAGACTCCAGAGGCAGGAACAAGGAGCATCAGTAATTAACTGAAGGAGGGAACTCCAGAGGGATACCAAACCTCAAAGAACTGTTAATAAGTACTTGAACATGTGAGCTTATGCTACTTCTGGCCTTTCATAACAACTAATACATTTACAGATGTTTTTATTTATATACAAGTTTGACATATTTTCAGATTTTACTAAACTTCAGATCTTCAATATCCTGTAACATTCCATTCCCTGAGATTCTGTCTGTTGTTTTAGGCAACTGGAAGAGCTCAAGGTGTTTCAGAAGTAATCAGCAAAGTTAGTTGCTGGGAGGTAGAGCCATAATTACACTACTCTTCATAAGATATCACAGCTAACCAACAAAGCCAAAGCCAGCATGTGACTACCATACTTTTTCTAGTTACTGATCACTTATTTGTGGAATCAGCCTCTCCCTACTTAATTCTAAGGATTTCCAAAACTTGACTCACTATAAAAGCATAAATTGTGCAGGTAACTATTTCATTATTTGATTCCAAAGGCTTACCATACGAAAAGGTGTCTGGCAGGGGCACACCATGACCAGCAAGTTCTTGAAACGTCCAGAACTTATTGACACAGTTGAGGATGGCCTGGGGACGATTCATTAACCGACAGCCCATCTTCTCTAGATGGCGAAGGACTGTGATATCACTGTCACTTTGGACCCAAGGTGTTGGTACCCGGACTACCACCACTTGGGGGTAAGCAGTAATAAGCTCCCCGTTCACCCGAAGACCTAAAGAAGGAAAACAAAACCATTCCAATAGCGAGCATTAGAACAGCATGCATCTTCTCAGTCATACAGCTTCACATACTACTTTTAGATTGTATTAGGGCACATAATCTTAGGCCATTTCCCAGGATGAAAAACTGTGCTACATTGAATTGTCAACCTTCCTCTGCAGGTTAGCTGTGCACTACAGTGACAAGAGTAGTAACAATAATTCAGGAAATGCCTGCCTCTCTCATATATGTCTTGCCTACATGATACAGTTTCTACCTTTCTCAGGCCCACTTGTATTGATTCCTCTGCTTGTGAAACCATGTTACACAATCACCAAAGTAATTGAGGTTAAATAGATACTTAAAAAAGCAACATTTTTAACACATCATTTAAAAACCTGACATATAGTAAATAGATATTCAATGTTATCAGCTAGCAGGATAGCACTAGTTAACATTAAGAAAGGAACTGTAAGGAAAGTCAGCTCCATCACCAAGACCAGTGCCATCACTTTCTCACGACCTACAGTTTTACAATGTCTCTGAAAAAAAATGAAAAAAAACATGGAAAGAAAGTTGCAAGCACAGAAATATGACAGGATCAGTTGGGAAGGCATCAAGCTTGATGAAGACAGTCTGACAGCTGAAAATGGGAAAAGACAAGTATTTTATATTCACTTTATTTGCCTTTAAGACCAACTGATTAGAATGTAAAATACACAGTTCACACTGCTGTCAGCAACTGAAGGGTTAAAAATGAGAAAAAATGAGCTCAGAAATCATAATTCATCTGCATTTCTGTACCTATGAAAGGCCTGTCCAACTATCTAGACTTAGCCCCAAATAATTACCTGATTAGCTCTATTTCAAAGTCATTACTTTTCAAACACAGACATGCACATACTCAATCTGTAGACATGCATACTGTCAGGCAGTATGTTTTCTTTTTATTTTCATTTAAAAGTACATTTGAAGCAACTCTTTGGGGACAAAGGATCCTATATGTACTTCCAGCTTTCTCTTTCCAACCACGTTGTATCTTAGAGCTTGCACCAAAAATAATGAAATAAACACTGAGCTCCCTAAATGGAGGTAGAAATATATTGCCCAGCCACCAGGAGGGCATTGAGCCAAAACAAAGCTATAACCAATCAAAATATCTTCCCCTCATCCCCAGTTCCCATTGCCAGAATTGCAGAGAGATCAGAAAACAAACAGACGGATACTCTGGATGTTAACCTCATTAGCACCAAGCACTGCCGCATTGCAGCTGACATGATTTGTGTGCTTAAATAAGCAGGCTTCAGACACACACACACACACACACACACACACACACAGTCTTACAGAAGCATCCCAAGTAAGATTAAAAACAAAGACTGATAAAAAACTGAGTTGAATGTGAATATCAGGAAATGGATCATCTCCTTTAATCAGCAAAAGAGGGCAGATTTAAGAAAATACTATAACTTGACAGTCGGATTCAATTTATTCCATTTACACATCTAGAAAATATATTAAAGTTTATGCTCAGGTACATTCACTTTTAGGAACTGTAATTGTATGCATGTTCTGATTCATGTGCAGGCTGTGAAGCAACCCATTTTACAAAGTACTGTATTTTCTACAGTCTTCCAAAATTGCCACTGTACACCACTGCTGTGAACCAAAACTTCAGTTTCCTAATTCATAAACTCTTGAGAGTCTAATTTGTTATTCTTCTTTTCAGTCATATCACATACTGAAGTTCTCCACACTGGAAACTGGAATTCAAAGAAGAAAGCAGTAGAAATGTAGGGTTCTTCTGTGAGACTTGTCTAAGAGATTGGTGTAAATTCAGACAAGCAACCTCTCCCCTTCAGTGACTGGAAGTGACATTATCAACAGAACAATCTGAGCTTTTGTTCCCGATTCAAATTTTTTCTCTTCTTTGGATACTCTTCCCTGCAGAACATTTTTTTTCTCCCTCTCTCCTAACAGAAGAGAGTTTACAAACAAGGAGCAGAGCTACTCAATGACATGTACAATTTGAGTCACCACTACTGACATATGGCATAAAATTAGCAGCAGTTTCCCAGCAACACAGTGCCTCAAACAGAAGCAACTTTATTACAGCAAAAAGGAGTCAGATTCTGCCACTTTGAAGAACAAGCTTGTATTCAACATTCCATCTGACACCCAGCATTTAATGGTCATTATTGATGAGTGGGTTGATAAAGCAATGCTTTATTCACTATGATGCACTGAAAACAGTAACACAGAACATATTAATACACACAAATAATTTCTCTTCCAGAGAAACAATTCATGAATGCAAAGAAGGAGAGGAAAATAAAATAAAAATAAAAATAAAAAATAAAATCTAAAAATTAAAAAATAAAATAGGAAGAGGTACACTATAGCGGGGTTAAGAGCTAATCAAATGTTTTTTGAAAACTGGGGTCTATTTCCTTTACAGTAATGGCACTGTTCCAGTCCTACAACAGTAACAGTGAGTTACATTCATGGTTTTCTGCAGACAATGAACAGATCTCACCAAAAAAAAAAAAAAAAAAAAAAAAAAGAACAGGAGGCAGAAATTCAGACCATGTGCAAGTATCTCAAACAATAGCAACTTGGTCCATTTGTTGACCTCCTCAAATGATGCCCATGACATCGCAGGCATGGAAAACAGATAACTGTAATATCTTTTGTAGTACCAGTATCGGTAGGAAAGAAAGGTAAATTGCACTGATAATCCAATATTATGAACTTCACCAACATTCATTTCACTACTGTTCAGAAAAAAAGTCTGAAGTTACAAAACATTTGGGTATTCTTTGGCCCTATGAGGTAGAAGACACCTGAGCTGGAATATCACACATCTATCACTATATCACTATCACAAAAATACATGTAAATCCTGCACTCAAGCAAGACCTGTCCTTTCACTCAATTTTCTTTGGCATTCCCCCATGAGATGTAAGTCTACAAAATGGAATATGGCAGACCTTTAACATTAAACAGGAAATGCCACAGTATTAAGAATAAAGTGCAAAAGTTTTTTGCAATGACAACTGTAACCAAACACGAATTAACTTAAAATATAAATCTCAGTAATAATTAAATTGATAAAACTACTTTCACTCCAAAATACTGTTTTGGGAAACAATTAAAAAAAAACAACACCAACAACAACAACAAAAAAAAAACTGACTCAATAAGACCATGGATTACCTAGGACTCAAATTCAGGTCTTCAAGTACAGCACAACCATATGAACCACAGCTTGGTTAACTTATTTAATGAAATGGTACAATACAAAGTTAAATGTTTAAATGCACAAGTACTAGGAGAACTGCTCAGGCTGCAGTAAATCTAATTACTGATATCAAAATACTGATACTGATTCTATTTTTACACAATTTGAATAATCGGTATTAATAGATACTCTATAATAGATGAAAATATGAAAGTAGCTGGAAACGTCTGAAGTTACAGCTTGAGTAAGAAACCCAAAAAGCATAAGCACAAGAGAAAGGAAAAAGAAACTTTCTCAGGGAGAAATGCTGTATTAGCTAGTACTTTTACATATGTTAAAAAACAGCCAGTAAACATGTTTCCATAATTAAACTCATAATTCAAGAAAGCAGAAAAAACTGTTTCAGTACACAGTACATTTCAAGAACATGGAACACGTTTCTAATATCAGCAGTGTAAAAATAGAATAATATACATCTACTATGCACACAACATTCTGAAATAAAAAATTAGAATTACATTTTCAAAAACACTAAACATATACCAGCTTCTAGCACATTCTTAAAAGGAACTAAGAAGGAATAAGAAACTCTCACACCCCCAAAAAAATTTCAGACTTCACCTCAGATATCGGTATGCTATCCTGAAGGTCTCCAGCTCTCTCGACTTCACTATACCAATTTATCCGTCCAACCACTTTGGATTTGCTAACACTTCCCAAATGAACAGGCTTTGAGTAAGTAGGCTAGTACAAATCCAATTTCTTCAGCTGGGTAAAAGAGACTAGCCTCTCAGCACAAAAACGTTACTCACAATTCGAGGACATCTCATTCTGCTAACAGTTTTTTCCCAACTAATCAGCTATTGTAACAAGAATCACTGAATTGCTTACAATTCTTGCCTCACTCTTGTTCTCAAAGCAATGCATTACTATTTCTGGTTTGTTCACCCTTCCAGTATCCACCAGGCAGAAGATGCTGCATAATGTGTGTTGAACTCTTAAAGTGTTTAATAACTACCTACAGCTTACTTGAAGATAATTAAATCCTAATTGCCATAAAAAAGCTCTAAAGGAAAATACCTCAAACTTTATTACTAGTAGTGGTTTACTGGCAATAACAAAATACATGTTTCCTCACTAACCTCTACAAACGAAACTACATTTTTACAATTTTTAAAACATCAAATACTTTGAACATTAATACTGCCACGGAAGTATTTAGGATTAATTAACAAAAGCAGAATACATTTAAAAAATGCAACTGTATAAATCAAAAGTCTGCTTTAATACATCGACAAGTCTATCTTATAAAATGATTGTAAGTAAGCAACCACAAATCAGGTGATATTTCATAGTATAGCACTTCAAATGCAATTTTATTTAAACAAGACTCTAAACTGCAGAGCACTGCTACAACTACAAACAGAAAGTGGGCACCTCAATTGAATCAGTTCTACTTCATGTCCCTTCCTTGACTCAAAGTACCTCTTAATTTCCCGAGAAACAATACAGAACCATTCTTACAAATGCTTGTACTAATGAAGATAGTGGAAAAACTTGGAGAGACAGATGACGCTCAAAACAATTATAGCTATTCTGGATAAGGCATTCTTTTCCAAACAATGGAAAACAGGCCAGCCACCTGTATGTATAGTTCATTAATATTAACTAGACTTGATGGCTATATCTGTTTTTCTGAGCTACATTTCTATTCACAATACACTGCTTAGAATCTCAAATCACAAGCACTTCAGAGTCATGCATAAATGTGA